CTTTCTGCTAAACCAGTTGTCATCTTCTTAGGATAAGCATTCAGATAAGAGCACAGGTTGCAAAATTGACAATGGCCAAGCGTGCCTTCACTTCAGCGGAAAGTTTATGTGGAAATAGGTCGGAAACTCTGAAACAATCAAGGGACGATTTTATTCTGCAATTTTTAAATGAAACAGATACTTACGAGACGATCATTGAACTAGATGACTGATTCACTGCCTACCCCTGCAAACTACTCCTTATCGAGCAGGCACCGTTCGAGCATATGAAATTCTATTCTGCATTCAACATCCGCAGTCAACGGTAATCTGCCTTTCGGTTGCAACAGACAATTCATGGATGGTAGCAGAACTAAAATTTTTCAGATGTATCCCAGTTTCAACAATCATGAACAGCTTCGGTGAAATTTCACATGCTGCCCATCGTTGTACAAAATGCTTGGGCGAACTTACGCATTTAATCAACAAATTTTCACTTTCACCAATCGCTTCAATTCCCAAAGGTTAAAACAAACGATCTCGACTGGTAGCAGAAATACTGGACATTTTTCATTTAGATGTCTCATCGGTCACCAGCACATAACAACGAAACCTTTGAATTATGTGACAGTACTCGTATTGATTTATGACTATTTACGTTTCACCGCTTATAGATTAGACATCGCTGAGGGGTAGTAAAACATTACGTATCAACGTGAAACTTTTGTTGAGAGTTACAGCGGTGAAAATAGAATTTTTATTACCCCTCTTTAAAGCAAATTCCATAGTGCTTTAGCACGCAGTTGCCTTTTCAAATTTTTACTGAGGTGCATGACTGCACCAATATCGAAACGGGCAAGCATGAAGCAACAAAAACTTTTCATGGACTTTTGAACAGTTTAGTGAAAGTTTCCGCAGCTAGCATAGCTTGAATGTTCGGATAGCCAATTTTAAGGTGTCGTAGTAAACGAGATGTAAATTCCGCGTAACACGACCAAGAGTCATGATGTGTATTCTTTACTGCGTCATCATCTACCATTTTATGTCTTTATGGATAGTAGCAAGGTAGGGAAACAGATCAAAGTTGAAAATGACAATATAAATGCGTTCAAATAAGCTTAGATGTTTATATCTAGGTCAAATTTTGAATCTGTTCAGACCAGAGCCTCGCGAAACTGTACTAATTAAGAGCAGTGTCCACTGTTGAAATAACTGGAAAAAAAATTTCTGCCACAGAGACAGCAACGCTCAGTAAATTTACCTTGAAGGTTAAGCACAATCAAAGCACAATTTATTAAAATAGCAAAAGTAAGAGGATTATCACAACCATTAAAGGATACACAGATACCAATTTTAAGGCTTTTCCTCTTTTAGTTTACAGTTTTTGCGTTGATACGTCGTATTTAGTCTGAACATCATCTAGCTTATAACGTTTAATTTGACAACTGACCTATTTAAGAAATATTAATTTTACGATTACTGGATAAAACCCGTTTTTATTTCCTTTCTGCAAGGCTAATGCTTCAGACCTTTACAAATATTAACTTTAAATCTACATAAAATCCGTGTACCACGCCTAGAAAACGATGAAAATTTTTCGTGTCAATCTACACAATGGTCTAATTACTGAGCAATTCAATGATATGCCGGTACTATTAATTATCAAATACAAAATTTGCCATTCATTAGAAATTAGACTTTTGCATCAGCGCAGAATGGAAATTCAAAATATCCTCAAAGCTATTCTATTTATTGTCGTAAATAATTCGCCACCTGGATGATGAGCTTATTGATCACGGTTGGTTTACAAAATTCACTAGTTTGTTTTTGTTACCGCGTGCACTCGACAATTACTCTCATGCCCTGGTTCGAATTCTGGTGATTTCTGAACATGCATTTCTTACGTTTCGATGGTTTACCAACATCATGTTGGATGCTCTGGGCATCCTTAAATAAGTCGATAATCTGTTCAAAAATGTTCTAATTACGTATTGTTATAACAAGGAAGAAGGACAGACCATGGATTGGTCCGAGAGGAATAATTTTGACGTTTCGCAAGCTGGCTGTGCCTAGTTTAAACAATGACTGGGACGCTGGTAAGTTTCAGGCGATTCGGACGTTAACTATATGATACAGCAGTAAATACAGACATCGCCTTGGTTCGCCTGAGCTGTTTGGCGAGCTGACAAGAAAACCAAAACAGAGATAAGCCATAAATTCATGTATTGGAAAATCTACACGTGTTTCGGCAATAACAGACCGAAAACCAACGGCGAACACTCTCACAGCACAGATTCTTGAATTACCTGAGTAATCAAATATCTGATTCATGCGTTGTCAAAAATCCAGTTTCGACCGGAAACGCGAATCACCGCAGGTGACAACAGACGTAAACGGGACGGCGAACCGGCAGTGAGGCGACGGCACGATCTCGTTCGCATGGGAAAGCAGTTGGCGTACGCGACAGGCATTAGGCTAGAGCAGTGCATGTCCATTTCATTTCTGATCGAGTGAAACTGGGAGAGGACAAGAGGTAGACGAGAATTAAACCAGTCACGACAAGACATAACTAGAGTGAAGGATACGACGCTGGAGTTAGGAGCATGCCCTTGCCTTGGCATTACTGCGGCCGCCATCGCCAGTGAGCAAGCACAACAGGGCAGGACTTTGACGCACAACGATGCTCTACTCAGCTTGTCCTTGTCAACAACGACGGTGAAAGAGACGGAGAGGAGGCCGGTACAACGCACAACGAGTTCGATTAAAATCCCCCGACCCGACATCAGGCGACTTAGGTGAAAGCCTAACGTTTCGCATAGTCTCGCCTGCGTCACTTAACGCCTCGCCTCAATTCTGCGTGCACACAAATAAAAGTTGCCGTTGAAAGATGATTATGAAAAAGGAACATTTAGAATCGTACGCGGCGCCTTTATGAAAGCTTCATTGC